CAAGGGATTCTGGGGATAAATGTTCACCAGGGCAAACTGGTTACGTTCAGCAGCTTCGTGTATTTCTGCAAAATCTACCAGTCTGAGGATGAAGTGAACTAAATGATCCCCTCTGAAATGATAAATAACACGTCAAATGTTCACAAGCCTGTTTATTTCTGACGCCCACCACCCCATAAGACAGTCATGGGTTTTAGTGAACACTCAAACCAAAGGTCACTGTTTTGTGTGTTTTTGTTCAGACAAGACTTCACAAAGACCTTTTATAAAGAAAACAACCAGCCAGTAAAACAGAATTAGAGCACATTATATATGTGACCAATCATTTCATAAAATCTGATGTAAGCCTTCAGGCATAATTGGAGTTCTTAGCAAAATACTTTGGTTTTTAATATTTCTATGACCCTCTAAGGGGGACTTAGCAATTACTCTTAAATTTTCAAAGCAGTGCATGGAGTTTTAGCTGTGTGACTTCCATTAAAGCCCATAGGAGTCTTGTTGCTAAAACATCACACGACTCTTGAAAATGTGCTCCTTCTTGTGAAATTGTTAGAAGTAATGGGTATGGAAGTATAGCACGGCATTTCTGGTACATTTACAAGCTTTCTGCACTTGTTTCAAATTTTATACTGTTATGGAAACGCAACAGTTCTATAAGAATCGAAGGGGGAAAAATCCTATTATGTGTATTCCAAAGGGGAAGGGCAGGAAAAATATAGTAGAACTGGTTTTAAAAATTAAATTTAATAATTATTCAAGAAAAGCCACATGTTTAGTCATATTTATCTTCCTTATTGCACGCTTTATGTCAGCTCCCAGATGTTTAAACCTTAAAATTGAACTTTAAAAAAATGAACTTTAATGACAAACTTTCACAATAATGACATACAACAATTCTGGGTTTTCAACACCTTCTTCCACCGAAACCGACATCACTAAACATGGGCTTCACATCTTTAGATGGGGCGGGGTGGGCGTGGCCGCTCCCGGTGGACAAGAGTGTGGCCTTAAGGCTGGCTGTGTGCTCATCAGGAGCCAGTAGACATCACTCTCCCACATCCCAGTGATATGCGCGCAGTTATTCCTGTTACCCAACTGTGGGAAGGGAGGTTCAGAGCCCACATGCGTCTGACTCGAGACCAGAGACCAGATCCCTCCTCCCCCATTACTCTGTGTCGTGCTACCCTCTAGAAGACAGTGCAGCAGCCCTCAGGGTTGTATGTGGAGCTGCGGGAGGTACATTCCGAGCCAAGAAGAGGGTGAGGGCCAGGCAGGAGACCGTCCTCCTATCCAGAGGACACCAATGCTCTGAATTCGTCCAGCGCACACAGCTACTCAGTTCGGACTTTGCTCCCGGGTTGACATGGCCTGCCTTGCAGGAGCCGGTAGCTCCGAATGGTCAGCGCAGGGACCAGGCCTGGCGTCAGCGCTGCCTCCCCTCCAAGCGTCCGAGGGCCTTGCTGGCGACGCCTCTTAGAGCAGAAACATCCTTGCAATCCTGTTTCCACGGTCCTTTGGGGGACACTTGAAGCCAGGAGCTGGCTGGCGTCAGACACAAGTATTTGTTTCAACACATTCAGAGAGAGAGTGAGAGAGACTGACTCAATGACTATTTCTTGAGTTAATTATCGTTGGCTCGGTTTCAGTGGTGCAGTGTTTTGCTGTAGATTCATTTACAGCAGTACTGAATTATCATTTGTATATGTATATGATCCTACTTCTCTCCTGAAATCTCTACTTATGTCTCGAAAGTAGGTTTTAGGATAGGTTTTATAAGTGGAGAACTCGACATAGAACCAATTTTTGAACACTGCATTGAATGGACAGCATTCACTGAGGATGAGCTAGACCACCGATTTAAAGTGTCCCATCTGGGGTCAGAATTAGGGACTATCTAAATAAGGGAATTTCAGAAGCGCAGGGCAGAATATCAAGGTACAAATGGGAGGAAATAAGCCATTGTTCCTTTAAAAAGCTTAGTCACCTCGATAATGAGAGGCTATGAAATAGTTCTTTTTATAACAGTAGCTTCTTAACTTCCCAGCCCTAATAGCTCCAAGGGCCACTTGCAGAGAGCCCCGGGCTACACCTGCCTTGCATAGATTAGGGCCTGCTGCAGCTGTCTTCATTTGCAAGACTAAGGTGTAGCTCGGAGAGCGGTGGTCTCAGCATGGAGCTCTCCTCCTCAATCTCAATAGGCCGATAGGCGTTGCGGATTAAGATGGCCATTGCAAGCCAGGCTCAGAAATTGCAAGATGAGGCAGGTAACGATTTCCTGGGTTTTATGTATCAGGCCTTACGAGGCAGGAGCCCTTTTATACGCCTGTCTTGAATTAGCCATACCTTTTACAATCAGCTCTGTTGATGAGCAGCTGCCCGAACTATCTAGCATATCCGTGGTCCAAGCATGCCTTTGGCACACGCACGTGTTAGCAAAGAACTGGTGAATATATAAGATGATCTCTTGGTGAGGACAAAAGGGACCTACAGTCAGTCAGCGTTGGTCTGTGGGTTGGATACGCTTTTTCCTGTAATGTGCATTTGTTTCACAGAAAATACAATTAGGATAATTCTTGTGTGTTCTCTACAGGAAGGAAGTAGTATACTGCTTGTGAATGGTAGGCTAACTGAGGGAACCATTAAAGGGTTTTTAATAGACTTTTGAACCAAAAGACATAAGAGACTATACTTATGTTGTCTTAATTGAGAAATATTGTGCAGTATGAGGAGACCTAATCAAATTTTCATTACATACCTGGTCAGGGACCAGGTTGAATGTTTCTTTAAGCGACTGGATAAAATGTACATTGAAGACGTGTTAGTTCTGTGAGAATGTGTCTGACATGCGTATCGTCTCTCCTGCGGATGTCTGAGTACCAGATACTTGGTTTACTGTGTTGGGTTGAATGCTTCTGTTCTAATTTCAAATGAACTTTACCACCAGACTACTTGATCATGACTAAGCCCAGGAACAATGCAAATGGAATTGCCCCCTGATGGGGAGGAATGGGCCCAGATGGCCCTTAAAAGGTGATAATTAGGAAATATAGCATATCTGAGTAGCTAGAAAGAGAGAAACTTGTTAAAGACAGTCAATCTGTTTGAAGCAATGGTCTTTCCCTTAATTATATGCATTTTCATTTAGAGTTGCTTTAAAGTAAAAATTTCCCAGGAAAAATTTTTTATTAGTAGCGAAAACCTAGAAACCACACATTTTTTGCTACTCTGTTTTACATTATTTTGAAAATTCTTTCCTTCAGACATTTTCTATTTTCCCGATCTGTGTAACAGACTTGCTGTGTGTGTTTTAGGGGGCCGTTTTAGGTTATTTTAGCTCTTACGCTAAAACAGTGGGGGAGTGATTAAAAGTGAGAAAAATATTGGTATAAATTTGTAAACTGAGCTTTTAAAATTAAAATAGTTACAGGATCTTACAGTCTGGGATTTCATATACTTTGTAAGACTGCCTTAAATGTATTGCCTTCTTGGCAGCTTCATGCCAGATTTTTCTCGAATATATCATTAAAATAATTTTACATACGACAAGTTGGACTTTTTAAAGAACTATATTTTATCTGAATTAGTGTATTTACATTTGCTAATGATATCACTCGTTTGGCTTTTCTTTAGTCAGGTTTTTTTTTTTTTTTTTTTAGTGTACAAACTTGGCGTTACTATAAAAATAACAAGTGAACTGGGAGTGACAACGTGAGGATGTGAAGAGAGAGAAGAAATATGCTCCTTATCTCTCTTCCAGCTCCTGCATGGGACGGAGGATGGCAAAGATGACTGTTCTTGGGAACTAAAGCACAGTGCAAAAGCTAGAACAGCCAGAAGGCCACTTTTTCCTTATTTGTAAACTCAGGAAGCAAAATTACATTGGAGTGCTAAATGACGTTATCCCGAATGTTTTGGCAGTCCTCTTTTGGCAGATGAGTCGCTTTCCTGAAATTACTCAGCACCATCACTCATCCTGACAAAAGCCAGTGGTACAGATGCACCTTTGGGACTGAAGCCAAGGTGAAACCTGCATTTTCCAGGTCGGCCCACTCAGGTTTGGAAGGACTCTCCATAAAATCAGCCTCACAGCCCACGCATCGCCCCTCTGGCGGGAACGCAGGGTTTCAGGATCTAGTCCTTGGGACTCAATACATTTTCATAAAGTATCTCCCTCCACTCAAAAATCACTTAGAGAATATTTGATATTTTAAGCCTCGTTATTGAAAAACGGATCTAGTTCATTCTCATTTCCAGGAGCACACATACCAAGACAGAATTGGAGAGACTCAGTGCTCTCATCCCAGCAAACTTTAGGGAAGATGGGATCCAGGGGGAGCCAAGAATACACTATCTGTAGGATATTTTGAACTATATCCTTGCAATTATTGACAGGTTGTCCCAAACAAAACAATCTGGCTCTAATTTCTCTTGTCATCAGTGGAAAACAAAACTTTTATTTAGTGCAGTGCAGGCGTGCTGAAGGGAAGGAAACATCAAAAGGAAGATGGGAGATACAAATCATTGCTATCTTTCTTTTTTTTTTTTAAACCCCTTTAAAAAATTACCCAGGTCTCAGCCCTCCAAGTAGCTGGAACTATAGGTGTGCGCCCCCATGCCCGGCTAATTTTTCATTTTTTTTTTTTTTTTTTTTTGAGTTGGAGTCTCACTCTGTCACCCAGACTGGAGTGCAGTGGCCGCTCCCAGCCTCCGCAGCCTCGACCTGCTGGGCTCTGGCGATCCTTCCGCCTCAACCTTCCAAGTAGCCAGAATTACAGGCATGCGCTACCACGCCCGACTGATTTTTTGATTTATTGTAGAGATGAGGTCTCGCTGCCCAGGCGGGTCTCGAACCCGCGGGGTCAGGCAATCCACTCACCTCAGCCTCCCAAAGGCGCGGGATTACAGGCTGAGCCACCGAGCCCGGCTAATTTTTCATTTTTATTGTAGCGATGAGGTCTTGCCAAGTTGCCTGGGCTGGTCTTGAACCCACCGGCTCAGGCGGTCCACTTGCCTTGGCCTCCCAAAGTGCTGGGATTACAGGCTGGGCTACTGAGTCCGGCCCATTGCTGTCTTTAATTCTGTGATTCACAGCAGTGAAGGAGCATAATTTAAATCCCACGTGCCCAACCATATCTGTAAATGAGAGTGTGATTTTTGAAGGTTGTATTCCGTTATTTCAACTTGAGCAATTGCAAGTAAGATCTAGGATTACCAAAGTTACACTTATTTCCTATTACTTTCTAAATGTGACGTGACTTGAAACCTTTGTAGCTGACATTTTTATCTATCACAGAACAAACTCTGAAGAGAAGAGCGCTTCAACTTTTTCAAAAAAATTTTTTAACGGGTTTAAATTTCATCAACACTATACGTGCCCCTTGTTAAGATAACTAACAACGGATTGCTGTAACAGCACTTGGGATTTTGTTTAACAGCAAATATAAAGAACTTGAGTTGAAATAGCCCAGGAGATGGATGGTGATTAACTCTGCATTCTTTTTAGACTGTTTTATTAATTAGCTCTCTAGACTCAAATAGGTTATATCCTCTGAGCAGTAAATTGCATTCCATTTGCAAGCTCTGTGGACGAAATTTGCATGTGGCCTAAATGCTACCCACATTGTTGTGTTAAGTAGCATTTTATCTCTCTGAACCCCTCCCCTGCCTCCTCCCCCACCTCCTCCCCCACCCCCAATGAAAGTTTTATCCACTCTTCTTGGTGGAAGCGAAGGTCGCATGTAAGTTTGGTCATTTGGCGCCATCTTCTTTTTTATTGTTCAATCCACTAAAGCCAGTCATGCCTGGCAGTACCGAGTGAGCTCCTTCCGGGGTTCTGGTCGGCTAAGCATTCAGAGTTCTTTGCTGTTTATTTACATGGAATGGTTTCAGCTTCTTTGCTTTAAGAGCTGATGAAAAGGAACCTTTTAAAGAAGAGGAAGGTAGTTTTTGGATGTAGATTTTACTCTCTTCTCGAATCTTCCCTTGATTCTCTCTCCTCTGTCCTGCCATTCCACCACCAACCCCCTCCATCCCCAGCAGCACGGGATTCTTTGTTTGTTTATTTGTTTGAGTTACAAAGTATTTTAGGAAGCACATTAATACTGCACAGCTTGGAGGGTAAGACAGAATTGGATGCCTCCCTCACCGTCAGTTGATGGAATCATCAGTGTTCCAGTTCTATTTACCATCATGATTTGAGAATATTTCTGAACAGCTGCCCTTCTGAGGACGTTGGTATTTAGACAGACCTTCCTGTCATTCATCTGGCTCGCGAGCACAACTCTTTGGAAAGAATTAATATCAAACTTGCATATGAAAATTGACTATTTAGGAATGGATTCCTTTTCAATATCCACTTTTCAATTCAACCAGGGAGATCTCATCTATTTTAAAAAATCATTAATCACATACTTCTGACATTTTCCCTTTCAATTTCCTCAGGGGGAAAAAGTTATTTGAATAACAAACAAACAAACAAAAACCCCTCATCGCAAATAGCTGTCAACCTCCTACTTGAACAAAAGCTTTCTCTCATATTGAGACCCACGGTGTTTTGTTTAGTTAGAGGCAGCAGGGTGGTAGAGGCACTATGCAGAGAGGCTTGGGGTTAATAAGCACTTTCTGGATTTAGTGTCTGTCCCGATTAACTCTTGGATTACTTGCTTTGAGTTGCTAACCCTCTCTCACTGCCCACTCGAGACTTTCCCACATGGTAGCCCGGTCCGTGGGTGCCATCCCTGGATGCACTGATGGTGGAAGATAGTGTGAAAATGTAAGCACTGTGGTTTTCAGATGATCTGAAAGCAAAAAGCTTAAGCGTTAGTTCTGGTTTCCTCAACCTAAGGAGCATTTTGGGGGGAACATTTTCTTTCTTTCTTTCTTTCTTTTGAGTTGGAATCTCACTCTGTCATCCAGGCTGGAGTGTAGTGGCATGCTCCTGGCCACTGCAGCCTCGACTGACCTGCTGGGCTCAGGCAATCAGTCCTTCCCCCTCAGCCTTTCAAGTAACTGGAACTCCAGCTAATTTTTTTATTTATTGTAGAGACAAGGTCTCACCATGTTGCCCAGGCTGGTCTCAAACCCGTGGAATCAGGCAATCCTCTTGCCTTGGCCTCCCAAAGTGTTGGGATTATAGGCTTGAGCCACCGCGCCTGGCCCATTTTCTTAATGAATATCTGAGTTGACCTAGAGTTGAAAACAGGCTGAATAACCTACTTTTTAGACATGTCCTTTGTTCAAACCAACTCTTATATAGAAAGTCTAAAAATTTGGGAGCGGGGAGGGACAGGCAGAGATGAGAGTCATTCTCTCTTACCTGCCTGTTGGGGCTTCCTGAAGGAACTTCAGTACCCAAGTTTAAAAGTCATTTTATAAGCCGGGCTCGGTGGCTCAACCTGTAATCCCGCGCCTTTGGGAGGCTGAGGTGAGTGGATTGCCTGAGCCCGTGGGTTCGAGACCCGCCTGGGCAGCGAGACCTCATCTCTACAGTAAAG